AAACACTGTTCTGGATGCTTCCTCTTAACACACTGACTGCCACACTAGAAAAAAATTTTTCTTGGGGCCACAGTGTTTTATTATGAAAATAGAATAAAAACTGTGAAAACAAAATGATCCTTTCTAATTTAATGAAAAATTTGTTATTTTTTATTATTTTATTTGCATGAGTTGTGTACAACTTGAAAAATAGTTCACGTGGCTCCCAAGGTAAAGCAACGTGTGAGCTACATATGCTTCATCAGGCCCCAGGCTCAAAACTAGTGTGAGTTATATACAACTCACATAGCAGTTAATGTGTCAAAATAGTCTAAGTTAACATGGCTTTCAAAACCCATTGTGATTCTTGACTTAGTTTATTGCTCTAGCCACATTTCTCACTTCTCTCTTGAACTGTTTTTGCCAAACTGAATTTCTTCAGTTGTTTAAATTGAAAGCACATAGAGGATAACATGGGAGAATATTTTCATACCTTTGGATAGATAAAGATTTCTTAAGTGGCACACAGAAAGAAATTAAAGTATAAGAGAAAAGATTGATAAAATTGAATGTCATTAAAATTAAGAACTTCATTGGTTAAAAGATACCACTGAATGAAATGTCAGGCCAGATAGATATTTGACAAAGGACTTTTATACAGAATAGGTAAAGAATACTTAAAAAATACTTATAAGTACGAAAATGACAACCAAAAATGGCAAAATACTTGAAAAGCACAGGTCAATAAATGTATTAAGCAAAGCTCATTCATCATTATTAGTCACAACAAAAATGCAAATCAAAACTACAGTGAAATACTGTTATAACCACTAGAATGACTGCTGAAAGACTGAGAGTACTGATTGTTGGTGAGGATCTAAAGCAACTGAAAGTCTCATACGTAACTCGCAGGAGTGCAGATTGGTACGGTCCCTTTGGAAAACTGGCAGTACTCAATACAGCTGAGCTAATATAGCTAATGAGTAAACTCTGATCCAGCAATTCAAGCCCCATTTATATACCCAACTAAAAGATATATATAAGAATGTTCAGAAAAGTACTTTCGTAATCTACAATTAGAAAGGAAATCTATTAACAGTAGAACAGGTAATAAATTGTAGCATTATTTATACAGTGGTATATAGCATCAGAAAAGATGAAACTATTACTATACTAACAGCATGAATGAGTGAAAGAAGACATAAAACAATATGCATGGCTCTATTTATATGAAAGTTAAAAGCAGACAATTATTATAAAGTAATGGAAGTCAGAATATTGTTACTTTATATTAGTTCTACACTTAGGAATTATGTTCTTTTCTGTATGTCTGCTACAATTAAAAGTTTGCTTAAAGAAGAAAAAGCGTAAAGATTTGTGGTTCAAAATGAAGATCTCAGCCCACATTTAAAATTTTTTGCCATTTTAACTTCCTGTTGAAATAATAAATGGGATTTTTTAAAAAGGAAAAAAATCTTTGTTCTACAAAAGAACAAGAAGTGCTATCCTTGAGGAATGTTTGTGAAACTGTAGATGAGACTGAATTCAGGGACTAATCCAGAATTCGTCAGACGGGAAAAAAAAAGTCACTAGGAGAGTATAAGAGCAGCAAACAACTCCCTAGTTTAGGAGAGCAGAACCCAGAAGAAAAGGCAACTAGTGAGACAGACAATTAGGAAGTAAATCTTTATCCTAAAAATGTCTTAAGAAAAGGCTTTATATGTGAGATCCTGCACACAGCTGGTATTCTATGGCAGTATTCACCTCCTATCTTATACTTGACAGGAAGCCTGTAAGGAAAAGCTCAAGCTTTGCTGAAGTAACTTCTAATGAGGGCGCTTGTGTTGGTTAGAGGGGGAGAACACAGTGCAAGCTGTTGTAGCAAACCCATTAAATAAATCCCATGGCAAAGTGCTGGTGCTATAGTGATGGCTTTCAGCCTATTTCTCACAGTCACCTAGATCTATATAACTAAGATCAACTTCTGATTTGATAAATCTTGATGCTCTTTTAGGGATGAAGAAATAAAGAAAAATCACTAACAAATGAAAACACCCAGTGGTTCAGAGAATTGTACCAGTCCAAAAAATTGAACAAATATTTTCTTGTGAAGTTGTCACTGAAAAAATTGTAAGAAAGGAATAATTTGAATTCAGGAAATGTTAACTTCAAATAATTAACATAATTTCTGAATTGAATGGAGAGAAATGGTGGTATATAGCAGATTGGGTATTTCAGGTTAACCGAATCTATAAAGTAGGCAACACCCTTTAGTTAATCTTTCAGAAGAAAGGTATAAAAAGGTGGACATGAGATAAATGATAAGAGACATAGGAGAAAAATCCAGGAGGTTCTATTTAACTGATAGTAGACAGAGAAGGAATTAAAATAAAAATTCCATTGCCAAAAAATTTGAGTTTTTAGATTAAAATACCAGACCAAATTAACTAGAAGAGTCAGAGCCACATCTAGGTACATGATAAAAAAAGGTAAAGAAGACTTCTCAAGCCTTCATTTAAAACACATGCACACAAATATATACACCAATGTAGAAAAACACAAAGAGCAATACATGAAGAATAGAGAAATAGCTATAGAAGGATGAATGTGGCCCCTTCAGATTATTTTGTTGGACTAGAAATCTTGGACAGGACTTGCACTGAAACTACTAAAATACAGGATAAGCATTTTAAATTGTCTTTTAAAATGTATCAGAGTTTTAAGGAGTCCATAGAACTCCAAAACTGAGGGAAATTATGAGAGGGAAGAGAGTGTCAGAGCAACATAAAAATGATAAACCCACCCTAATGTGGCTTTGCTATCTGAATTCATAATAGGTGTGTGGTACAACATGCCTAAAGCAGAGATTTAATTTTAAGAAAAAGTAATTTTAAGTCCCTAGTTGGAAAGGTGCCTCCTTCCTTCCCCATCCCCCAGTTGGTGGTCAGAAGCAAAAGCAAATCTTCAGTCTAGGACTAAAGAA